AGTGCGTATCATTTTACATAGAAAATCTCTTCAACTTTTCCCAGATGTGAAAGAATAAAACGGCAATAGCCTGTAATTCGAACCATCTAGATTAATCTGATTTCTGACACACACTGAAGGTAGTCACAGATGAAAACTTGAAAGACATTACCTTTTGGTGTCCACCTCTGTCATTCACAGTAAAAAGAGCTATTGTAAATTAAATCCATCAGTAGCTTTTCAAATTTTGGGAGTTTAAGAAAGCATCAGTTTGGCAACTCCAAAGTCTTCCTAATTACATCTCTCCTTCTGCTATTAACACCCACCACGTACCCCCTCCATCCCTCCCCGCCTGCAAGCAGCACACAATCAAGAAATTGCTAGACTAGTTCCTGTCCTGCAATAACTTTTCACAGTTCTAACATTTTGGCGAAGCCTGTAAGTAAAAATCAAAGCTCTTACAAGCTTGTTCTCCAGGTAACTTACTGTTTTTAAAAAATATACGACGAGACAGTGAAACAACCATCCACACCTTTGTTAATCAGGTTAGCACCAGTAGCATCTGCTCCTGTTGTAAGCACGTACTTTACGTACTCAGTCATTGTATCAACGCCAGAACTACTAGACCGCAATTCTAGAGAATCAGTAACAGATCAGTGCAAGCTGTAAGTAGGTTTCACATCCCAAAGGAAGCCTTAACACTGCAGCATCTCCTTCAAGAGGATCCAAACTAGCTAGGTGGAACTACAGCAGTCGCATCCTCTGAACGCAGGAAGCAGCAAAGCCTCTCCTATTCTTATTAGTCACTGCCATAAACGCCCTTGTCCAATAATCTTTTCTAATCTAAATTCTCCCCAGACATTACATGTTTTTCCTCCATAAAACATCACTTCCCCCCCCCCCCCAACAAATAAAGAAGGCAATGCAGATACACTTTTTAACCACAAACTACCAATGCAGGCAAAGAATTTCAAAGTGAGGTGGGACAGAAAGTCTGAGGAATTATTCTTTTAGATATCAATATATACATAGTACTTATAAGCGAATATGCCACCTTAGGACTACTGGCCAAGTTGAATTAACTTGTAGACCCTATGCTGTATGAACACATGCAGGTATGCATACATCTGTTGTAGCTTGCTGTTGCACTGGTGCAAAGCAGCCCGGTATACTCCCTACGGAAAAAGAAAAGCAAGAGTCATAGGGAAGTTTTAGACAAACATAGGTAGATTTACCAAACATACAGTAAAAGTATATTAACAGGCAATGAAGGGTATGCTGAAACGCCTAAGTTTGTAAACACAAGATTTAAAATTATTTATCACAACCCACCCCTGTACCTATTTTGATGTCAGATGAAGCTTTTAAATATTTTTTTTTAAAGCTTTTCAGCCCAATGTGCAACTTCAGCCATATCAAAGCAAGACAAAAATACCATGCACAAGACATGCCACACCATTTTACATGCTTCATTTGCAAATAAACATTTTTTTTCCTGC